TTTTTCATCCATACGACTTCTTTGGTAGCTTCACTTTCAGCAATGTATTCGGCTTCGGTTGTTGAATCTGCCGTGGACCCCTGTTTGCTGCTTTTCGAGCAAACAACACACAATCCTATCATGAAAACATACCTAGATGTAGACTTTCTATCATCTGGATCTGACTGGAAGTCAGCATCAGTATACCCCTAGATCTTTAGTAAACTACCATCGGATACCAGACAAAACTCTTTTGTCCTACGAACGTATTTGAGTATGTTTTTCACAGCAGTCCAATGCTCTTGCCTTGGGTTAGCCTGGAATCTGCTCACCACACTCACTACCTGAGCGATGTCAGGACGAGTGCACAGCATGGCATACATGATGCTCCCTACGACTGAGGCATAGGGAACATCCTTCATGCCCTCAATCTCCTCGGGTGTCTTGGGAGACATGCCCTTGGAAAGAGTGATTCCATGCCTGAAAGGAACATTTCCTTTCTTGGAGTTCGCCATGCTGTATCTCTTGACTATCTTGTCAATGTAAGCAGATTGGGATAATCCTATTATCCGCTTCGATCTATCACTATAGAGTCGAAGACTCAGTATATAGGAGGTTTCTCCAAGATCTTTCATGGAGAATTGTTGTGAAAGCCACATTTTCACCGTAGTCAACATTCCTACTTCATTCCCAATGAGTAAAATGTCATCTACATACAGAACCAAGGACGTAACATTATCCCCACTGGATTTCCTATAAACATAGGGCTCATCTGGGTTTTGCTCAAAGTCAAACCTTTTGACAATAGAGTCAAACCGAATGTTCCAACTCCTAGAAACTTGCTTAAGTCCATATATGGATCTATTTAATTTACATACCATGTGTTCCTGACCTACAGCTATGAAACCTTGTGTTTGCTGCATGTAGATATCTTCACTAAGATCTCCATTCAGGAATGCAGTTTTGGCATCCATTTGCCAAATCTCATAACCATGGTATACTGCTAYAGCTAGCAGGATCCTAATGGATTTAAGCATGGCCACTGGCGAAAAGGTTTCCTCATAATTGATTCCCTCTTTCTAAGTGTACCCTTTCGCAACAAGACGAGCCTTGTAGGTCTCAACCTTGCCATCAGAGCCCTTCTTCCTCTTATAGATCCATTTGCAACCAATTGCTTTTACCTCAGGGGTGGATCTACTAGAGTCCAGACTCCATTAGTCTCCATTGAGTCCATCTTAGCTCTCATGGCATCTACCCACTTCAAGGAATCTATGTCCAACATAGATTTCGTATAAGTCATGGTATCCTCCTCACTAGTCGTAGCTTCCACCAGGTAACTATCCTGGTCATAGCCGAAACGAATTGGAGGCCTGGAAACCCGGGTAGATCTTCTAGGTTGGTCATTACCTGGAACTTGTGGGACACCTCCTACTACCCTTGAGCTGTCCTCATCAAGAACAACTTCCTGACGATGATTGTTTAGGATGTAATCATCCTCCAAGAAATGGGCATTTTGACTACAGAACACCTTCTGTTCTCCTGGGTCATAGAATAGGTAACCCACAGAGCCCTTGGGGTAGCCTACGAATAAGAAATGGCTGGTCTAGGATTCCAATTTGTCCACACTTGTTCTTTTAACATGTGTTGGACAACCCCAAATCTTCAAGTGTCTCACACTTGGTTTCTTATCGGTCCAAAGCTCATAGGGAGTCTTCAGAACTGATTTGGTTGGAACCCAGTTCAACACGTATATCGCAGTCTCCATTGCATAACCGCAGAAGGATGTAGGAAACTCTGAGTGTACGAGAAGTTATCGGACCATATCCAATAAAGTCTGGTTCCTTCTCTCTAACACACCATTTAATTGTGGTGTAGCAAGAGGAGCTAGCTGTGACACTATCCCATTGACCTTTAAGTAGTCCCTGAATTCATTAGAGAGATACTCGCCACCTCGATCCGATCAAAGGGTCTTAATTTCTCTCCCTAACTGCTTCTCGACCTTTTGTCTGAACTCTTTGAACTTTTCAAATGATTCAGACTTGTGTCTCATTAGGTACACGTAGCCATACCGAGAGTAATCATCGGTAAATGTTATAAAATACACGTGTTGGTTATGTGTCCTAACACTCATGGGACCACATACATCAGTATGTATAAGGTCAAGCGTGCTTGTACATCTTTCAGGCTTACCGTTAAAAGTCTGTTTTGTCATCTTACCCTGAAGGCAAGGTTCACAAGTTGAAACATCTTCTATAGTTAGAAAATCTGATGTGTGCATAATTTACATATAAATTCTGGTGTTTAAGCATGGTTTTGATGCTGATTTGTGTGAATTCTTACCTCAATTGAGCTTTATTTTAGGAAATTGTCAAAGGGGACAAGTCTAGGGAAAAAGAGCATAAAACCATGCTAAAGGAGGCTAAATTGAAGATGATACAGCCCAGCTGGGAGCAAGGCCCAGCCAAGAGGTCAAAAGAGGGCTATTCGGCCCTTAAAGCCCATGCAACACTCTTTGGGAGAGCCCAAAGAGAGAGCCCAGCCGCAACTTCCAAGGGAGCCTATTCGGCCCAGCAAGGAGGAGGCCCATTTGTAGCTCAAGAGCAGCCCAAATTGCAGCTCAAAAATAGCCCAAATTGCAGCTCAAAATCAGCCCAAAGTGCAGCCAAGAGAGGCTAGGGGTGGCAGCTTCTAGAGAGTTCAAGAGAGCTAAGGGCAGCAACTTCTAGAAGGTTCAAGAGGCTAAAGGCGCCAAACTTTCTAGATGAGAGAACTTTCTATATGGGAGAACATTCTAGATAAGAGAAAGGGGCTGAAGAGAAGGCTATAAAAGGAGAAGAGAGCTAGGGGAAAAGGGGTCAAAAACCTTTTGGGTGAATTCCTTTTGGGGAGAAGAGAAAGATAAGCACAAGAGAGCAGAAGAGAGGAGAAGATTCAAGAATATTCAAGAGAAGAAGAAGCTGATTTCGAATTTGGAGAAGAAGCC